TTGGGCTGTGATTGGCTGCTGGTACCTGAGTGGAGGTATTTCTATATAAATACCAGCTTGATTCATCAGTTAGTTTGCAGGGTTTGTATTAAGTTACAACCTGCTTTATTTTTGTCTGCCAGCTGGACGCTAGCTGGGACCTTTACGCCGGTAAGTGCTGTTTATTATTGTTATTCTACACAATAAATTTTTATATTAAAAATACCAGCAATAAATTTTTATATTAAAAATACCAACAATATATTTTTATATTAAAAATACCTGCAATATATTTTTACATAAAAAATGGTAAACGATCCATATAGTAAAAGGACCAACAAAAACATTTTTAAAGCGAAATAACCAGCAATAAATTTTTTGAAGTCTTAAAATTGTGTTTAAAATATTTAAATTTCAACATTAAATAACCCATGAGGTGTTGATATACTGCTAAACATAATCAACCAACCAGCCAAAATCTAACTTTCAACATTTCGCGCTAAGCATTTCCACAGTTGTCTTGTCCACTTTTTTATTCCGAAAATGAAGAAAGTTTCTGGTTTACTTTTGATCCAATTGCACACAACAGATTCACAAGCTCTTGAATGATATTTTGTTAATGGAAATCCAAGGGACCTTCTCTTTATGTTTGAATTGTAAGCAACGGTCAACAGATATAGTAACCAGTTCTTCTTCGGTAAAAGGACAAGGTTTATCCACTCCTTCTTAAAGATAGTCTTAGATATGACGATTAACTAGGCCTCTAATCCGGAGATTGGAAGTTTGAGGAGCGTGGTACCAATTCTAAATTGCTTTCGTTCCCAGATCAACTCTGAATCAGGATGGTAGCACTTGTTAGGATATATATATATATATATATATATATATATATATATATATTTCATTAAATAATATCACAAATAATTGTCTATTTATTTTATGTAAAATTTTTTCGTATCTTCTGATAAGTTTGATAACATTATCATTAACCGAAAAAAGAAATTCACAATATTTATCAATTATTTTTTTAATATAATCTAAGCTTTCGGCTTACTCAAGCCATTATCAAAGATGTAATTACAAACATATCAAACAATATACGGACACGACAGTTATGATAGTCTGTCATTGTTTAGTTTACATAGTGGATCACTAAGCAACGATGAACACGCGCATATAAGACGCTAGAAGCGAAAATCGCACCGCATCTCATGATGTCACACATGACTACACGAGAGTGAATTGGAGAATGAAATAAGGAAAGCCGTTGGTATAAACCAATGGCTTCTGTTACCAATTATAGAAATTATAGACATTTAAGAATATTTGTAGAGATGCCATAGTTGATTTTGTTTAGGTTGGGTTTTAACTGTTTGATGTATAATGCTTCAAGTATTTTTTTTTTTTTGTCTATTGTTTTCATGTCGAAGTATAGTTGTGTTTTCGACAAGTATTTTACGGAATTGTGTGTGCGGGCAGGCATGTTGTTTTAAATGCCTAAAAAAATTAGAGTTTTCATTAAAATGTAGTGTCAAGCGTCGTGAAAGCGAGTTTGTGGTGTGACCAACATAAATATTATTTAATTCGTTGGAGATACACTCTCCCAAAGGGCACTTGAATATATATATATATATATATATATATATATATATATATATATATATATAAATTACCGACAATATATTTTATAGTAAAGTGACCAACAATACATCTTATATGCAGTTGAAAGCATTCAAAATGTGTGTAGTTGAGGCCATAAAATTTTGGACAAAATATTAAGATTACGGCATTAAATAACCTCCAGAGATGTTGATGCACCGCGAAACCAAACAATCAACGAACCAACATGAAAAAAAAAAAATTCTTTCATGACATTAATCCTTTGTCATGACTTTTGGCTTATGGAGATATCGCGCGGGCGAACACGCACACACACACATATATATATATTCATTACAGAAAAATTACTTAATAAACCGAACAAGCATTTAGACCAACCAACTTAATATATATATATATATATATATATATATATATATATATAATAATATTAATAATAGCTGCTCATTCGCAATCGTTGATACCAGTCGACTAGGGCGGCTAGACAATCCCTATTGCAGACGCTTTCTCAGGCTCACGTCTGTTTGTTCCATACCCACAGAGCCCACCTGTGGTTTATACTGCAACTATGCTGAGCAGACCTTAGTTAAAGTTTCTGGGATCTACTCTTCCAGACCTATAACATGAGAAAGTCTTTTTCCTGAGAAATTGACCCTGCTGGGATTCGAACCCGAGTCTCATGATCAGAAAGCGAACGTTATAACTATTCTCTCTCTCTCTCTCTCTCTCTCTCTATATATATATATATATATATATATATATATATATATATATATATATTGAACAATAAAAATATAAACAAATTAAAATCTTCAGACACACTGGGTTGTATATTAATATTCTTTCGTTTTTATTATTATTTTATTTAGATTCCTCGACTTGTTTCGGCCAACATGGCCATCATCAGGAGAAAAAAAATTCTGCTTGCTAGTAGCAGTGAAATGAATGTCTTGATGTAGAAATTTCTCTGGAGTTTTCATTTGTTTTTTTATTTTTTTTTTATCATGAATTATGGTGTCGCCTGAAATGTTGTTACTACCTATGATTTCTTTTAGCTTCTCAGGTCTACGATATGCTACAAGGCCGGGT